AACATGTTTCTTCCTCATTTCATGTATTTGTTTTTCAGTTAACAAACTAATATTTTAAGCCCCCATGGGGGCATTCCCCAAAATGTGTGGCAACAACCCCCCCCCCCACGCAGTGGCTCATGTCCAGAATCCCAGTATGCTTCTGGGTATATTAATTAAGCTTTTTTGCTTGCAGTTTCTGTTTGCCTTCAGCTGCCTTCCTTGACTTCTCTCTGGAGACGACTGTTCTGTCAAGCCCGTTTGTCTAAAACATTTTAGGGTGGGCTGAGTGGATCCTTCTAGCCTCCTTCCCTTTGAAGAAGTTCAACATGCCCCAGGATGGAGTTCGCATATACATTATTATTCTGATTATTATCGCAGCTAGTGGCTATAAGCTATAGTATGCAGCTGTTACCTAATACTGTAGCTCAGATACTGTACCTAATACTACCCCCCAACCCATCAATCCCAGAGTCCCCAAACAGGAGCATTAAAGGGAAGTTCGAATATCTTCCAGTCGCTTGGAGCCAACTCCCCAGTTGCCCAGCAGTCCCGTCTTCTAAAACGTTACCGCTATTGCAGTTCAGAAAATTAGAGTTGTGTATGCATGCACTCTCTCACTTGCTCTGTTCTTTTCAGAACTGTCTGACAGGCAGAAAACCAACAGGATGAGCACAGTGACATAGAGAACAGTTTCATTTTAGACGCATAGAAACAAAACGACTCAGAAGGGTCCTCCTGGGCCATCTAGTCTGACCCCCGGCTCCAGCCGGCGCCACTAACATAAGCCCCAACATGTGCTCGCCCTTGAACGCCCTCCCTGCTGGGGCCCCCACCACCTCCCTAGGAAGTCCATTCTGTTAGAATGATGTGATTCTGTAATTATATTGCATTAAAGCCGTTCTGTGATGATGCTTGCTTGCTGGAACTTGCAGGAAGAGCAAACACAGACCGTTTCTGCGACCAGCCAGCAACCAGGGCAATCGCTCTGCAGCTCCCGATTTAGGCTCTGTGTTTTCAAAGCTGTAGACTGTTTAATCAGTGAACGCTTTGCATGTCTAAGGCTGCAGATCAGTTAGTCAGTTAGAAGCTAAATGAAGGCACCTAGATGCTTGGAAAACAACACCTCACATAACCACAATTGTTAAGGGGAGGCAGTTACCAGAAAACCTTCGCTAACTCTGACCACAAACTAGGTCTGGGAGACATCCAGCAAGACCCCAAACGTCACAAGAAACAGTTCTTAGAAAAAACCTGACCACAAGAACCCACTAATGACTCTCTAAAGGTGTCATGACAGAGAAACAGAGTGAGACAGAAGAGGCCTCCCTGGCCATCTAGCCTGACCCCCAGCTCCAGCTGGCTCCGCTCATGGCATGCCCATCTTGTGCATGTCCAGCCTATCTTTGAACACCCTCACCGATGGGGTCTCAGTCATCTCCCGTGGAAGCCCCTTCCCTCTCCTTGGGGTCCTAACTGTCTAGAAATACTGTCTGGCATCCAAACTGAATCTCAGTTCCCTGAGCTTTGCTCTGTTGGAGCGCGTCCTGCCTTCCTCTGCAAGGAGAACAGGTCACTCCCCACCTCCGTGTGACACCCCCTCACATACCTGTATGTAGCCAACAGATCCCCTCAGTCTCCCCTTCTCCAGGCTGAAGAGACCCAGTTCCCTCATTCCCACCTCATGCGGCTTCTCCTGCAAACCGGCCACCAGCCTTGTGGCCCTGCGCTGCACTGACTCCAACCTGGCTATATCCTTTCTGTAATGAGAGGTCCAAAACTGAGCACAATACTCCAATTGCGGGTGCACCAGAGTTGTGTAGAGTGGTAGTAATACCTCTCTCGATCGAGAAGCCACGCTTCTGGCTATGCAACCAAGGGTGGCGTTCGCCCTCTTGGCCACCGCGTCACACGGCTGGCTCAGGTTTAGCCTGCAGTCAACCAGCACCCCGAGGTCCCTTCCACAAGTGCTGCTCTCCAGCCACTTGTCCCCTAACCTGTACTTATGACACCTATTCCCATGCCCCAAGTGCAAGACCTTGCACTTATCCACCTTGAACGCCATCCTGTTGTCTCCTGCCCACTTCCATAGTCTGTCCAGATACTTTTGGATCTGGAGTACCTGCTCCTCAGTTGTGGCCACTGCCCTGGTTTTAGTATCGTCTGCGAATTTGATCAGCAGACTGTTCACCCCTTCTTCCACGTCGTTAATGAAAAGATTAAACAGGATCGGCCCCAGGACAGAGCCCTGGGGGACCCCGCTTGTCACTGGCTGCCATCCCGATGATTCCCCGCTAATGGTGACCCTCTGCTTTCGGTCAGTCAACCTTGCCCTAATCCACCGGACAGTGCTTTGGTGTATCCCAAAACTCCTCAGTCTCTCCACCAGGATATCATGGGGCACTTTGTCAAAGGCCTTGCTGAAATCCAGGTAAACCACATCCACTGCACCCCCTCCATCCAGCCACCTCGAAACCTTGCTGTGGGAGGCCAGGATTGGTCGATGTGGAATTGGTGAGCACTTGGACATGCCCAGTCCAAACCACTTGTCCATCTGTAATCTATTGTATAAGGACCATGCCCAAACCTTTGCTTTTCGTCAGCTCCACTTTTGGACATGATGCTGACCTCTTTTGCATGCAAAATAAATGGCTTAAGTCTCTACTGGGCATTGCTTCCCTTTTTCCTGATAATTGAGACCCGCTGGGAAAAAGACCAAGGGCATTTTTGCAACAATTCCATATCCTAGGTGTCCTAATACTTCCTGACATCGAACCTGAAGCCTGGTTCCTTGGGCTTTGCTCCACTGGACCATGTCCTTTCCTCCACCGCAGGGGAGAACAGGCCATGACCCTCCCCTTCATACCTCTGTGCTGCCTCCCCCTGTACTGCACCCAAGCGGCCGTCTTTCGCCCGCAACAGAGCCAGGGCTGCCTGAGACATTCAGCGTTTCCAGTTTCCACGGAGGGCTGGCGTCAAGAGTAAGTATGATGGGGCGCTTGCCAAGACGCCAGCAAGATTCCCTGGACCTGCTTCCAGATTTTCCAGAATGGGCCAGGATCTCTTCCCAATTATCCCAGAGTGCAGGGCACAGAACAACAGGCTCACGTTTTGGCTTGAAGGAAGTTTCATGGCCGCTTTCCTGCGGGGAGTTGGTCCTCGTGGCTTTCTACGCTGGGGACTTCCACGGAAACCAGGGAGTGGCCACCTCAGAGAAGGCATGGGTCTGCGTCTCTTGCAAAGCCCAGCTGGTGGGGGCCCTGCTTTTGCTGAGCCGGAAACTGCACTGGCTGCCTCCAAAGCTTTGGGTTTGAATCCCCGGTTGCAGCCACAGGAGGGAAGGACACAGGACTGGAGCACGGGCACGATCGTCTCCCTCCCGCTGGGAGTTCTCTGCCTGCCAAGGACACCCCTCTTTGCCAAAGGGTGCCAGGATCTGGGCTGCTCTGGTGGCCAACACCAGAGGCAGGACTGGTCCAGACCCTGCCGGAGCGCCCAGTCTACGGAGGAGAGCCGGACGGGGGTCCTGGGGGAAGAGCTGCGTAAGAGCCAGCCCTCCTCTCCAGAACGGCCTCAGCAAGGCAGGTCCCACCGTTTGCTGCAGTGCCTGCTCCAGGTGCCCGGCGCGGCGCCCGCCTCACCGCGCTGGCTCAGCAGCACAGGTCCTCCTGCTTCCTGCTCTCCCCGCAGGCTGCCGGGCCTCCCCGGCCTGCACCTGCCCCCGTCTCCTGCCTTGCCGTGCAGCCTCAGCAGCACAGGCGCCCCCACTGGCTGCCGGGCTTGCTCTGGCTGCCCTCCCTCCTGCTCCGCCCTGTCGGCTTCCTGCCCGCTGTGGCTCGGCTCCCACCTCTCGCCTGCCCCTTGGGGAGTCCGGCTCCTGTTGCCTCCTGGACCTTGCCTGATGCCCCACCCCGTTACCCTGCCCAAGGCACCTGCCCCTCTGTCTGTTCTCCCGGTTCTCGGCCCTGGGCACGTCCCTGCCAGCACCCTCGCGCTGCTCTGATGCATTCTTCTGGTTCCTGGTCGCGGCCTAGACCATGACCAGGGAATTGTAGAACTGGAAGGGGCCAGGAAGGCCATCGGGTCCACCCCCTGCAGTTGCAGGACACCATGTTACACCATCCCACTCAGGTGGCATTCCAGGTTCTTTCAGGGGAGCCCCCCACCTCTCCAGGCAACTGGTTCCACTATTGTATTGCTCTGACAGTGAGGAAGCTGGTGTCTAGCCTGGATCTGGGGTGTCACAGCTTGAATTGATTATTCCGTGTCTTGCACTCTGGGATCAGCGAGAAGAGATCTTGGCCTTCCTCTTTGTGGCAGCCTTGGAGGTGCTTCTAGAGGGATACCATGTCCCCCTCAGCCTTCTCTTCTCAAGGCTGAGCATGCCCGGTTCCCTCAGTCTCTCCTCACAGGGCAGTGCTTCCAAACCCTGGGTCATTTCGGTTGCCCTCCGCTGGACCATGGCTTGACCTTTCTGTGCACCCCGGTTTTTGGGCTCTGTCTTGCCTGGAGTTCCGCTGCCCCGGTGCCTCTTTTGCTCTCGTCTGGTCTCTGGCCGCCCACCTCCTACCCGGGACCCTAAGCAAAGGGATGCAGGGAGGCAAGGGGCGGATTGCAGGAAAAGCCTCGGGCAGATTGCAGTGGGGGGGCAGCCGGAGGTGAAGGGCATGCGCGGCAAACGCCAGCTGATCCTGGAGGTTCCAGTGCGAGAGGCTGTCTGAGCCCCTGCACCTCTCTTTCAGCAGGAGCTCCTGCAGCGAGGGAGGCCACCAGGGGCACTTGCCAAAGGAAGGGCTCAGGGGCCTGTTGCGTCTGGATCAGCTGGCTTTCGGCCCATCTCATGTCTGTCTCTGCACAGCACGAGTGAGCCCGGGCTCTTTGGAGCTGGAGGAGGATGGGTGGGTGAAAGGAAACACAACTGGGCCTCTGAACAACCCCCCGATGGTTCGTAAGCTGGTTGGATGCCCCCTGCCCACAGCCCACCAAAGGTTTCCGTTCCGAGGCAGCAGGATAAAGGACTCTTGAGTTTGCGTGATTTTTACTTTGCTGGCCACCAACGTGCTGAACATTTCCATTGTCTCTATGTCCCACTCAGGTGCTCAGGAAACCCAAGCAGGAGGGGCCAGTCCACATGCCCTGCAGCCGCGGAGCCCACCCCTCTCGCCGGGGAGCCTCTTTGGAACTGCGAGGGAATGCCACGGGCACTTGCACAAAATGGCCGCCAGGGGGAGTGGTGTCTTCACACAATGGCCGGCCACAAAACACCTGCTTCCCAGCAGGAAAAGGGCTGAGACCAAACAAAAAAGGGGGGGGGTTGGCTCAGTCCTGGCCCCCCCTTGGCCCTGGCAGCATTGCCAGCAATAAAATGGGCTCAGGGCAGAGGTGGTGGGAGCAAACCTTTGGCCTGTGAAGCTGGACAGCTGCTGCCAGCCAGAGCAACGCAGAGCAGGGGGCGCCACCTCAGGCTCGGGGGACCGAATGTGGCCCTCCAGGAGGCCACACCTCCTTCCTCTGGCCCCACCCCTGCCTCCCAAGCCACCAGTCCTTTGGCAGTTCCCTGGCTTTTGTGCAGCGCTTCCCCTACTTGAAGGGTGAAATGACAACAGGGGCATTTCCATTTTTCTACTGCCCAAGAGTCAAACGAGGCACCTCGCTGCAGATGGAATGCCTTTCCTAGGCTCTGTCCACATGGGGGGCAGCCTCGATGCTCAAAGGGGCTGCCGTCCGGGGAGCGGGACCCTCTGTAGCCCTCGCCCCACCCTGCCCTGGGATGCGGGCCCCCAGAGCGTCTCTGAACTGCCTCGGGGGGCTGGGCGGAAAGTGCCCAGACAGCTTTGAGCCTCTGCAGTGTGTAACGCTGCCCCGCCTAACTCCCTGGGATGTTCACGGCAGTGTTCTCTTCGTCAAGACTGCTCATCTCAAGAGGGTCGCTGGGCACCTCGTCCAACACGCTCCCCGCGCTCCCGGGATCGTTCTTGGGCTCCGTGTTGACCGTGTCGGCCTTCCCCAGAACAGACGTCAGCTGGATCCAGAAGAAGGGCTGCCGACTGGGCTCGGAAGGCCACTCCAGGAACGTCTTGGAGCTCAGCATCTTCCGCAGCTTGCAGAACTTGCTGGGCAGGGCCTGCGGGTCGATGGCCTCCTTCACCACCAGCACCATGTCCTCAAAGCCCAGGCCCACCCCCCGCTGGTGGGCAAAGTAGAGCTCGTAATTGCACCAGTCGCTGTCGACGAAGCTCCGCGAGAGGACGAAGATGACCTTGCGGCTGCTCTCGATGTTCTCGATGATGTTGTCGATGATCCACCGGCCCGGCGTGAAGTCGCGCTCGTGGATGCACACCCGGTAGGGCGGCGTCGAGGCCTCCAGCCTCCGCAGGAGCTCCTGCCGCACCCACGGGGCATCGGCGCAGCTGTAGGAGATGAAGGCGTGGTAGGTGAACTGCCGCACCGGCCCGGAGCGGCGGGCCCGGTACTTGGAGCGGACGATCTGGAAGGTGGCCCGCAGATACCAGGGGACGTCGAACCTCCAGCACAGGACCATGAGGACGGCCACCACCGCGGCGGTGACGGAGGCCGCGATGGCCACCGCCACCGTGACGTCGCACTCGGTCACCCCGGGCGCGTAGGCGGCCACGGGGGTGTCCAGCAGGGCCTCGGGGTGGTAGCAGGTCCAGCCGCCGGGCCAGTCCAGCAGCTCCAGCCTGCCGCTCAGCCGGGCCTCCTGGAGGAAGCTGTAGAGCTCGCAGACGCAGTGGTACGGGTTGTTCCCCGCCTTCAGCTGCACCAGGCGCGGCATGTGGGCGAAGGACCCTCGGCCGATGACCCCAAAGGAGTTACCGTCCACCTGCAGGACCCGCAGGCTTGGGCAGCTCCACTCCGTGGGAATGAACTTGATCTTGTTGCCGCTCAGGTGGAGCTCCTGCAGGTCGGCTGCGCCCTCGAAGTAGCCCATGTCGAGCCGCTCCAGCTGCGAGTGGGACAGGTCCAGGAAGCGCAGCGTGGTGGGGAGGCACCGGAAGACCTCTGTCGTGGCGGCGGAGTTGGCCAGGGCCAGCCAGACCAGGCTGGGGCTCCAGCGGCACGGAGCGGCACTCGTGCCCCCGATCGGGTTGTGGCTCAGATCCAGCTGGGAGAGCCGGGGCCAGTTTGAGGTCAACCTGGCCACCGTTCGCAGGGAGGTTAGTGCATTATAGCTCAGGTTGAACTGCTCCAGCTTGGCCATGATGTCCCGGTACAGGCAACCTTCGTTGAAGATGTAGCTATCTATCAGGCGGTTGTTGGAAGTATCGAGCGTGACCACGTTCCTCATCTCGCCCCAGGCATCACAGGGCACGAAGTTGAAGTTGACGTTGAGGATGGAGAGGTATGTCACGCCAGAAAACCACGTGAAGGTCCAGTCAAAACGCAGGATATCTGGATTGCTGATGTCCTTCAGCAGCAGGCGGCAGAGGGTCAGGTTGGTGATGCCAACTTCTGGGGGATTCCACTGAGGAGACCGTGCAAAATCGATGGCGATGAAGGAGAGGTCTCGGATGCTGGACTTCCTAACATTCAACAGGACCAAGCGCAGCAGGTTCTCGGTGAATTTCCCCCTGTAGAAGACCAGCTCTTTGACCTCCACTTCAGCCAAGCTGGAGAAAAGGTCTGCAGAACTGGTGTAGTACTTGAACTCAAAGAGGTTACGGAAGCGGAGCTGCTGCATCGGCTTCCTGGACAGGTCGTGCAAGATGCGTGGCAAGGCCTCTGCATTTTTGTCCAGCGCGATGTCGCACCAGAAGATGGTCGCGTTGATCTTAGAGAAGGCTCCTTTCTGATACTCCATCAAGCTGGAGGCTGTTTTCAGAGCAAACTTCTTCAGTGGAATCGCTTCCAGAGGAAGGAAGTCCTGACTTTTCACTGTGTAGATGGCAGGGCCCCCCAAAGAGAGGTCTTCGAGGTTCTTGAAAGTGCTGAAGACCTCATCTAATGCTGAGGTGGGATAGAGGTTGTTAGAGATGGACAACAGCTGCAGGTTCTTCAGTGGCTTCAGTGCCTGTGAAGGAATCTCCCGCAGAGAGTTGTTGAAAAGCGAGAGCTTCTCCAAAAGGACGTTGGACACAAAGGAATCGTTTGCAACAGACAAGATATTGTTGTAGCTCAGATCCAGGCCTCTCAGCTGGGTGAAGGCTGAGAAGTCAGCTGGAGTGATCTGCTCAATCTTGTTGAAGGAAAGATCCAGGAGCTCGAGGCTGTTGGGGAGATCTCGGGGGACCCGGAACAGATTCTGCCCTCGGCAGCTGGCCTTCTTTGTGGAGATCTGGCAAAGGGACACGGCGGATTCTTCGGCCAGGGCCAGGGTCACCAGGCACAAAAGCAGCCACAGGGCAGCTGAGGAGGGCGGTTCCATTCCACGTCACATCTTCGCAGTCAACCTTAGTGGAGAAGGAAGGCAAAGTCAAGACAGGGCGAAGGCCATGAAAGCGCTTTCTCCTTTTCTCTTGGCAAGCGCAACAGGTTTGGGGGAGGGGGACATGTGCACGTCCAGCCTGTCCTTGATGAACATCTTTATGTCTAATAACTAAAATGGATCCACCCTTAACTGCACGGAGCAAGCGGCGCCCTCTGTACTGCTGCACAAAGCCAATGCTCCTCTCCACTGCGTTTGATCTCAGCATTTTAAACGTCTGTTTCTGTCAACGCTGTTCCAGACTATTTATTCATTAGTCACTTCCAAAACAAAGCAGTCCCGTCTTGCAGGGGCTTCACATTTTATTCTGGGGTGGTCTTTGGAGAGCGATGAGGGCTGTTCAGGAGGAAGTCTGGGCAAACCCGCGGGGCCGGCGCTGTGGGTGTCTGTTTGCAGCAATGCGGGGTTATTTCGGGTCTGCAGCCGGAACCGCTGAAGTCAGCGGAGGGGAGGGGTCTGAGGCAGTGCCCCCAACCTTTGGGGGTCAGCAGGGCTCTCGCGCAGTGGCGGGGCTTGCCCAGGAATGCAGGGAGGGCCAAGGCTGAGCACGGCCAGCCCCCAGACGCTCGGGAGGAAAGCCACTGACCTGAGCAACTAAGCAAAAGGCCGCGGTGGGTGCTGAGCCCCAAAGCACAAGGCCGCCCCTTGGAGCCGGAGTGGGCCTGGCGGGCTGCGCCGTCGCTTCGCAGGGAAGAATGCTTTGTGAAATCTTACGAAAGTAAATTAAATTAAAATCAGGTGAGGCGGGGCTTGTGGGCACCGAGAACGGAGCCTTTAGTGTGCTGGTGTCCACACGCATCGCAGGGGGTGGGAACTGATGCAGCAGAACCCGCAGATCATTTCAGGGGTCTTAGCAAATCCAAAAACAAAGCCCACTTTGCATAAATCTACAATTAGTGCGGCCTGCCGGGTCACCTGTCCCAATGTCAGGGATAGTGGCAAGTTCTCAGGTGCTCTTGCATTTTTCAGCCAGACAAGCAGGAGGAGGGAAAGGATGTTAGCTCAGCGGCAGAGCACCTGGTTGGCATGGCAACGGTCTCAGCCCTGGGCAGCATCACCAGGTAGAGCTGTTGCCAGTCTGCCTATGAACAGCTCTGAACAAGGTGAACCTCTGGTCTGAGCCGCTGCCCGGCAGCTTCGGGGTTCTTTCCCCGCAGGTGAACTCCTTCCGGCCACCTTTTCCTTATATGACCACAAGAGGGCGACTAAGACTGAGAACAGGGAAGAGGAAACCTGGGCAGATGCCGGGATCCACCCTTTGATGTAGGGGGGCTGCGCTGGGGGCTCAGCAGCCAGGAAAACGGCCCCGGCAGGGCTGGCGAAAGCTCCCCCCAAACTGCGGGCCACACTGAACACGATGGACCCGTCTGCAGAACCGCTTGGCTGAATGAAGCCGCAAGAAGCAGGGGCTTGTAGGGCAAAAGGGGACCAGGTGTCTGGACGGCAGTCACTTTCCACGTCTCCAGTCCTCATTCCAGTGGTGGGTGGTACTGGAGGGGAAAGGGGCGGCCCCAAATGCCAAAGGAGCGCAGCCTTCAAAACACAGCCTGGGCATTCGGTCTGGCCCTTAACAGAGAGGCTCGCTCAATTGCGCCCATAAACAAGCAAGCGCGAGCCTCTGCCCCTCAAGGACAAGTGCGCTTGGGTGGTCCACAATCTCCAGGCTGCTGCTGGCACACACGTTCCCTGCACAAAGACAGCTAGCACCTCAGAAGGAAAGCTCCTCGCCCAGTTTCCTCTCCTGATCTGCTAGTTCTCTTTGTGCAGGGAATTAAGTCCAGTCAAATCCACTTAAGAAGAACGCTTTTGGCATGGGGTGACGTTTGTCATTCTGAAATGACACGGCCCAGGTAAAACATTACTTTCCTCATCTGCCACGTGAGAGAATGGCTGGCATTTCTGGGTGCTGCCCACCCTCCCCAAATTTAGAAGCACGTCAGTGTGGTGATTCGCATTTTGGATGAGGGACGCCAAGTCCAGGGGCTCTCTTGGGGGACCCTGGAGCAGTCCCCAGCAATCAGCTCAACCTACCTCACAGGGCTGTTGTGAGGGTAAAACAGAAGGGAGGTTGAAGTATGTTGCCTCTGAGTTCCTTAGATGGAAGGCGGGGTATCAATGCATGAAAACGGCAAGAAACGTGGCGCATGTGTTCAGAGCAGGAAGACCCTTGCCCAGGATGGCATCACGTGACCGGTGGAGAAATCCGCGTCGCTCGTCCCTGCAGGTCTTCCGGATCGTCCATGCTGACTCAGGACAAGGGCCCTGCACTGCGGGGGAGAGAGAGGACATCAGCGGCCCCTTATCGCATGCAGCAGCCCCACAAAACACCAGGAAGGGGGGGTGCTTGCACCCGCCCCAGGACCACAGGATGAGGCAGGGCAGATCCCTTGCAACAGTCATTAGAAACACCCCGCTCCAGTTCCGTCTTCCTTCAGAACGCAGTGGGGAACTTAACGATGGCTTGTCTCTTAATTAGCTGGCTTCCGTCCATTGTGGGACGCAAAGTATTTCTTCGTCTAGTTCTTCCTGTGTGAGTTATCATTGATCCAAAGCATTTCCCCCATCCTTTAGCCAGAGAGATTCCCAAGGCGGCTCATAAAGATCTAAGAGAGTCGCAGCCCACGGTGCGCCGTCTAAAAGACATGACATAAAATGAAGGTGATCTGGGCATGCGATTTTTAGCTAGGCTGATGCGGAGGCAGTGAAGCGGCTGCAGGTTTCCTGTCCTGAGCAGCAGCTGTTAGCACAGGGATGGGGAGCACCAGCAGCACTGCAGGGTCTGCACTCCTGCTTTCCTTCAGTGATCTTCTTGCATAGCAAGCAAAGCCCTTTGCCATAAAAGAAAGAAATCTGCAGTTCGACATTCACCACCACCCAGCAAGAACCCAAGCAGCCACAGCTCTGCATGTTAGTAAATGTTTATAGGAAGTTTACAGAAGGGATTTTCTTATTTATTATTACTGAATGTTTATAGGAAGTTTATAGAAAGCGTTTCTAGCAAGAAGAGGACCTTTGGAAATCTAGATCGGCAGATACGGAGCAGCAAGGAGATGGCTCCAAAACAGCCACTTATTTGCTGTCAGTAAACAGATACGCAGCCAGAAAAATGATCCTGCGCCGTTTGGAGAGGTTTGTGCCCAGCACGTTGCACGCTGGGGACAACACACGGCCGGAGCGCGTGCGGAGGCTCCCAACGGAGGGAGGCTGCAGTCTGGGGAAGCAGAAGCTCTCTGTGGCCGCCCTGTGCGGCCTGAACCTCTGCCCTCCTTCCAGTGACCTGCTTCCAACAGTGGACAGAAAGGCGCTTCTGGGAAGCCCCGAAACAGGAAGTGAAGCCTGCCGCTCTCTCCTCTCCTGCAGCTGCCCCCTTGGCAGGAGAGAATGGGCGCTGTAATCCAACGCGTGCCGAGGGCACCAGGCGGAGAAGGCTGCCACCGCCGCGGGTCCCAGCCGCCACTCACCCTCTGGCAAGTGTCCGCCCAGCCTCTTTTTAAAGGCGCCCAGGCTCACGCGCAGCACAGCCTCGTGCTTCCGCGGCACGACGGCCACGCGGCCACAAAAGGGCAAGGCGGTTTGGGCTGCGTTAAGAGAAGTTTCACTTCCGAATCGCGGGGGGTCCCGGTTCCACTTTCTTTGACCCTGGTTAGTCCCCATCTGGAGTGCTTCCTCCAGTTCTGGGCACCAGCATTTAGGAAAGATGCAGGCAAGCTGGAAAGGGCTGGGGGTGGGGTGCAGCGGTGACCCTTCCTCTCCCTGAATGCTGCCCCCGCCCCACACAAAGACTAATCCAGCTGGCGTGGCAATTATCTTAGGAGAAAACAAAGTAGCCAAGCCCCAAACCGCCAGGAGGGCTTCGGCAATTGGGCAGTACAGAAATGAATTATAACAATAACAAGAATAAAAGCTTTGGGATGGGAATTGATTGGCCAGGTTTCCCAGCTGTGAAATTTGAACAAGTCCTAGTCCTTCTTTCAAGTTTGCATCCAGAGGTGCAAAGAAGCACGCGCAGACGGCAGGGTGGCCCGGGTCTTCACCGGGCGGAGAGCAGGCAGCTGCAAGGAGCGTGCTTTGCTGAGCCTTGTCAGAAGGACCACACGGTGTGCTCTCCGGGGTCGCAGACTCGGCTCACCCGGGCCCAGGAAGGCCACTTTTACCCCAGGAAGGGCACTCCTCTCCCTGCCCCGCCTCCCAGGGTAAAAGGCACCACTCCAGCTGCAGAGATCAGGTGCAGAAGGCACACCGGCGGCGAGTTCTGGCTTTTCCTGGCTGGCTGATAAAAACGTTAAGGTGAAGCAATGGTGCCTCAGCGTTGCTTCCGTTTCTCTCCTCCTCCCGCTGAGTCCCTTTTCCTTTCGTGTCGGGTCTGTGAGACTCTACGCCCGTGGCAGTGACCGGCTTACGACGGAAGCCTCTTTTGGAAGGACAGCAGGAGAAAAAGTATTTCATGCACTTTATGTTGCTGAAAAGCATCCAGCCGGGTTTGCAACACCAGACAGAAGCTGCCAGAAGCAAGGACTGGAAATAAACAGGCTTTTCCATGACATGGAAAGTCAATGCGGCGTGGCCTGCTGGTTAAGAGCGCAGGGCTGGGACTCCGGCGACCCATGTTCTGATTCCCACCCAGCCACAGAGCCAACTGGGTCACTTTGGGCCAGTCACATTCAGCCCAGCCTACCTCGCAGGGTTGCTGTGAGGAGAAAACCGAGTGCAGGGGAAGGAAAATGTTGTAAACTACTCTGAATTGTTTATAAGAAAAAAGGCAGGATACAAATCTAATAAACAAATAAATAAATGAATAGCTGTGGTATTTGATTGATAGAATTCAGCTGACATTTCATATAAAATACATTAAAATGCTATTTTATAATTATTCAAATACACAGAATCTCTTTTGTCTTGTTTATAATGGATGACCTAAAAAGTCAGATATTCTCAGCTTCTAATTAAGTTTATGTATTTTATGCTGTGAATTAATAATCTTAGAAACAATTGCCATTTTTCTTTTGTTCTTGTAGGCCTTTCCCTGTCAGATGATTTGCACCCTTAAGAATCAACTTTGTATGCATTCAAAGGGCTGATTTAATTTTTTTTAGTTTCCATTTTCTTCTTCTCCCTGCTTGTATCAAACAGGGGAGTGACCCATGTTGCAACTCTGGAGAATCACCATAACAACCAGGGAGGAATAATTCGTGGAATCATAAATATTACACTAAAATGGGGTACCTCTTGGACTCCGTTATGAGCTCATCCCAATTCCGGTTAAGAGTTTTCCTGCTTTCAAAACAAGGCAGAAAAAAGCTGACACGAACGTTTGGGCTGTGCCAAGCCTCTGCTCATTTCCCCACAGGTCATTCTTGGCTTTGCGAATGCATTCCATCATGTCCATTTGCTTGCAGGGTGCTGGTGTTCAGCTTGCACAAACACACTCACAACCTGTTCAGGGCATGAGAATCAAGCAAACAGGATGCTGCAGCGCCGAGCATTTTGCTCTGAGGAAGAGGGAGCCAGAGAAGCCAGGCCAGAAGCCAAGAACCTGCAGGATCTTCCAAACATCCCCACGGCTAATTTCAAGGATGAATCACTTTGTTCTAGAATCAAGAGAGCCCGCGTCCGTTTAGCAGGCCGTGTGTGAACCTGGGAAGCCGGGTTCAGACCTCCGCTCGGCCACAAAGGGGCCCGTGTGACCTCAGGTGAGAAGGCACATGCGCTCCCTGTTCAGTATCCTCACAGGGCTGCTGTGGAGATGAAGTGGGGCAAAACCCACTGATCCCCCCCGAGCTCTGCCAGGACAGGGCAGGTTGCAAGCATGGGGGAAGGGAGAGCTAAGGACTACACCTGAAAGCTTGGCCCCCTAAAGCAGGTCCCGGTGGTCCCTGAGAATAAAAACATAGAAACAGAGTGAGTCAGAAGGGGCCTCCCAGGCCATCTAGTCTGACCCCCGGCTCCAGCCGGCTCCGCTCACGACATGCCCACCTCTGCACATGCTCAGAGGAATTCCTTTCAGTCTCAGGTCTCTGAATGTGGATTCTCATGTAGCCAAAACTGGAACCATCCAGACACAGGAGGGAGATGCCAGCATGCTCGGAGCCAGATATAAGAACCCCCTATTTTAGAAAGAAAAGCCTTAAGGGGTGCAGGCTACGAAGGGCAACCAAAAATCTCCCAGTGAGAAGAAGGTGACTCAGTGGATCTAAAAGCCTGGCTGCCAGCTTGAAGGGGAGGAGAATGGAAAACTGGCGCGGAGGGTGCAAAGGAGAAGGCCAAAGAGAAAGGTGTGGCTGGCTGGCACACGCTGCGCTGCCACATTTCGTTGCACATCGGGACCGGGCCTTCCACGACGTCTCCAGCTCCAGGACGAGGCTGCCAGTCCCTGGGCTAAGCGCAAGGGGGCTGCCCAGTTCGCCCAGAACGAGTGTTGCAACACCCCAGAGCTGAACCGTCTTTTGGGGCACCACGTAATTCACCTTCGGCTTTGGCCAGCCTTAAAGCTCACTCCCCAGTAATACTGCCTCCTCTTCCCCAGGGCGGAGCTCCTGTGCCCTCAGTGTCAGTGCCGCAGCGGACGGAGGGCCACCTGTTGAATGTCTGCCTGTTAGGCAGCCGAGAGATCAGAACTAGGCACATGTGTAAAAGGCCATGCACCTGGCTTTGGCCATGGGATCTCCTCTTTGGCTCTGAGGAAGCACGGTTTGAGGTAATCTGCATCGTGAGGGAATAACACCCCCACTTACTTAGAAACCCTATTATATGTTCCAGAACTTCATAACTCTCATGAGGGCTAGCCACATGGCTTTTAACGCACACAGAACTAAGCCTTGGGCTTTCATGAACCATACTGCTCTTAGTTACCAAGGGTGGGATATCATCATCATCATCCTCCCATAGGAGACATTCTCTGGGTAGTTCACAACAGTACATAAAATTGTTTCCAGGAGAAAAATGCCAGAAAATTAAAAGTGGCTAAAAATGACCGTGTTAGAGGAAAAACCTTGGAATGAATCATTCCCTCAAGCCACAGAGTACCAAGACGATTTGAAAAACTTCAGGATAAAGGCTGTCTTAACCTGGAGCAGAGAAAATGCCATGCAATATGAATAGGGGCTATACAACCCGTCAATGCTTCTAGCGCCTGCATTGCCCCGGAAGGGACAGCCAATCGCTCACCTGCACGGAGGACTCACCGACAGCCTTGCAAGGTAGGGCTGTCTCCGTATTTCATGAGGGGGGAAGTCTGGAGCGGGGACGTGACGACCCGCGGCTCCACTCCTTGAGCAGAGACTAGAGGCCAGACCTGCTTCCGCGGCAACGCGGACACGGGTCCCCGAGCCGTCGCCCCTTCGCCCCCGCAGAGACTCGCATGCCGCGCCGTGCACACGTTCCGGAGCGCTGCCCGTGCGCCGATCCTCACGACGACCGACGGCGCGCACGCGAGGCGCTCGCCCCCCCCCCCCGCGCCCGGGCTGCCGTCCTCCGGCGGGGGGATTCCGGCGCCCCCCAAGGAAGGGGCTGACCTGCTCGTCTCGGCTGGCTGAGGGGCCCCGGAGGGCCCTCCGGGGAGGGGGCCACGCAGAAAGGCCAGTCCGCACCCGCACGGGAGGGCCATGTCTGTCGGAATCCGATCCCACCCAGAGGACACGCGTCTGGCCCAAGAAGCAGAAACACTTGTTGTGGCAACGGCCATGGAACTGGGCATCTGAAAACAAGGGGCGCGGCTGCCCCCCCCCCCCCGCGGGAGCCCCGGCGTCAGGCCTACCCCAGCCTGTCCCCTAAACCCATCAGGGGAAGCCTGGCTGCGATTCTCCTGCTGTGGCACTCTGAACATGCTCAGAGGAACTGCGTTTATTATTCAGCACCGGAGTCCTCGTTTAAAGGACGCTTGCAAAAAGGCCGCCGCCCTCTTTATTCAACTGTGTGTGTATTATATTTCGTCACACAGGGAGAGGTAGACGGCATGTAAGTGTGACACGACACACACGTGTATTCATTCTGGGAGCGTGTGCATGGTGCGCGCGCGGAGAGTTTCCGCGGACTTGGCGTTCCCTTGCCCAGGAAGGCGCGCGCGGCACCCCCCGCCAACGTCCAGTTACGCGATTTCCTCTCCCAGGCTCGTAAACCTTGAATCAACAGCAAAAAGCCCTGGAAGAGAGAGACAAGGAGGCCGCGAGCTTTACCTGGGCTGCTCTCCGGCTTTGCAAACAGGAGGACGGGAGAAGAGAACCGTCTCTCTTCGTTCCAGGTGCGCAGAGTCAAAGCTCACGAGCGCTGGGCAGCCTTCTAGTCCTCTGTGAACATTCCCGTTCCCGGCAGCGCTTCCATCTCCCCTTCGCGATCCTGGCAGCAGCCGCCGAACTGCAAGGCAAACAACGAAAAGCGAGTTTCCCCCGTTTCTCCTAGAGCTCAGGAAAGGGGCGTGGCTTTTCCTTAAAGGGCCCGCCGCGCCGCCTTCTCGAACCGCGGGCCTCTGCATTCCTGACACGTCAGAACCGGAGCAGCAGAGCTGTCGCGAAGAGCGGGGCCTCGAGGAGCGCGCTCCAAGGGGGCTTGTTTCCGCAGCCCTGGTGCCCCTGCCCCCGCCCCCCCCCGCCCCTGGGTGGGCCGGGGGCTCCCTGGGCAGCTCGCTTGGCCCCTGCGCCCCCCCCCCCCCCGATGCCCGGTGGGGCTCCCTGGAGGCACCCTTGCCCGGCCCGGGAGCGACCAGGTCGGCCGGCCTGCAGCCGTGCTCTGGCAGGAGGCATCTCCAGAGCGTTGGCGCCTCAGCCCCCTGCCTGGTGGACTGGGGGGCGGGGGGGAGCACACAGGGCCGCTCGTGGCCCCAGTGCCGTGCCGGAGGTGGCTCCCGCACGCCCCTGTTCCCAGGGGAGCGTGTGCCAGAGAAACGCGGCTCTTGCTGTGGCACATGGGCTCTTCTCCTGGCCGAGGCCTTCCGGTGGAAAACGTGGCAGTCCTATCGGTCCCGGAGGGAGCTCCGGCCGGGCTTGAGCACACACTGTGCGAGCCACAGGTCTCCGCCACATCCCAGCACTTGGGACTGTTAATGCGGCAGCAGCAAAACAGTCCAGCTTTTTGCCTCCAGATTCCAAGCTTACACTGAGCAGTTTTGATCTGCTAGAAGGCTTCTGTGGAAGTTGCCAGGGCTCCTCCGTGGACCATCCCTGGCCTCTACCTGGCTGAGGGAAGCGCCAAAAGAGGCACACGGCCCATGTGCCAGCAAGCAAGCAAATGCAGCCCCCCTCCTTAAGAAGAGCCGTAGGATCCACACACCTCCGGAGGCGGTTGTGCTTTTATTTGTGTGCCCGTCAGAGCTCAGTTTGGCATGCCAAGTCACTCTTTGGAAGGCAAAACTGCAGCAAGATGAGCCGGTTTGAGGTGTTTCCCTTCACGGGTGGGTGGTCAGCATCCTCTCTCCTGGTTTCTGGGAATCTGTGCCCCAGGGAGGAGCGGCTCCGGGCTGCCAGTTCGCTTGTTGAGGAATGAAGGATCCACTCAAAAGGGGTCTGGGAGCCCCCCTCCATCATTAGCAGCGGGGGCTTCAGTGGCGTGGGTCCACTTTGCCCAGCGATGGAGAGAGCCAGATGCTGATATGTCCTGGTTCCCAACGCACCACTCTACAGTGGATACACTTTCAGCAAGCCACTCTGTGCATGCTCAGAGATCCATTCCAGGCGGTTTGCGATAAAGTTAGTTCGCACGGAGAGCTGCCTGTGACCGGTCCTTGTTTGAAGGAGGGACCTCGGATCATAACAGCGTGAGCCCAGCCCAGCGTTTGCTTCCAGGAACTCCTGATGCGCACGCCCGGGCCCAATCCGCTCGGCGAGCATGCCCCCTCTGTGTGCCGCTCGTTCAGTCGGGCTCTTGCCTCTGCTGACACTGCCATGCGGTTGAGAGCGGTGGGGGCCGGCCCGCCCCTGAGAATTCCTCCTCCTCAGAGACCCCACCCCCGGCTGGACATCTGCACATTCCCAGGAACTGCCAGGCTCAGCAAAGCGCCTGGCCCTGAGACAAGCACCTCCACGCCCAACCTCCCCCCTCCGATCTCACCGAAACATGTTTCACTTTCTGTTTCCAAATCATCATCTGGGATTTGGGAACCCATGACCGAGACTGGCCAACTTTCTCACTCCCACGGCCAAGCGGGGACTCGAACCCAGATCTCCCGGGTCCCCCATGCAACACCGTGACCATCGCACCACGGCCTTCCTGCAAGGTGGGGGGACAGGGAGAAGAATCCCCCCTGGAATCTCCGACTAGTAGAAGCTGTGGGGGTTTCCACACGAGCCCCTCCCTTCCCTGTGAGCGGACTCAGGAGAGACACTCTTTGTTCTCTCCCGTGGAGGGGATTCCCTTCGGTGGTGTGGGCACTTGGCTGGCCCAGACGCTGCGTTCTGAGCCAGAAGCCCAGCCCTGGGAAGCGCGAGGCAGCCGAGGGGAAGGGGACTCGTTGCCCGTGTCCAGGGAGCGCCAGCGTGGGCCTGCAGCGCAGTGGGGCCGGCTTCTAAGCCCCAGTCGGCTGTGGAGCGTCCCACTGCGTCTCAGCCTGGCCTCCCTCACAGGGTTGTCATTGCGAGAGGAGGAGGACCTTGCAAGCAACCCGGGGTCCCTTGCAAGAGGAAGAAAGCTGCACCATGAACGCATCATCATCATCTTCACACCCACACATTCAAGGAGACTGGTCAGGGCTTCTAGGCAGAGAGGAGCCTCTCTCATGTGAAAAGCTGAGCGCACTGCTGTACGGAACATCTTGATTTGAGACGGCCCTCTCCTTAGGACAGGGCATCTGTGCTATGAGCAGCTGTGTGGCAGACAGAAGCTCCACAGGTGAAGCTGTTCCCTTCACTCTGACTCCATGTCAAGAAAGGCTTCAGGTGCTAAGCTTTTGCCTGGAACACCTTTGGCAAAGGCTCAGCAGCTGAAAGAAAGGTTGGCAATCCTGAGTTTTTGAAGGCCATCCCTGATGCTGGCTCTGACATCTCTTCTGGAGCAAACATAGAAACAGAAACACTGAGTCAGAAGGAGCCTCCCTGGCCATCTAGTCTGACTCCCGGCTCCAGCCAGCTCCACTCACGACATGCCCACCATGCGCATGTCCAGCCTATCCTTGAACACCCACACCGATGGGGCCTCACCCACCTCCCGTGGAAGCCCCTTCCATCCCCTCGGGGTCGAACTGTCAGGAAGTGCTTCCTGGCATCCAAATGGAACCTGGGTTCCCTGAGCTTGGCTCTGTTGGAGCGCGTCCTGCCTTCTTCTGCAGGGGAGAACAGGTCTCTACCCACCTCCGTGTGACACCCCCTCAAATGTTGGGCCCCACCCACCTGGCAGGATTGGTGTGGCAGGAGGCTATCAGTTGTGTATTGGGGTCAGCACAATAGGAGGCTTGTCAGCCGCCCCAGGCATATACAGAGTGTTCTTCAAAGGATAGGCTAGCTGCAAGTCGCTCCGCTTTTGTATCAAAATATGGACTAACCGCAAAACCGTCTTGCCTCTGTATCATGCCAGCTCGCTTGCGTAGGCTGTCAAAAACAATTCTCCCTTTGTTTGTAACAAGGTATAAATACTCCGTTGTCCCTCTAAAGGGTGCGGCACCCATCCTGTCCTTGTGGGAGAGTGTCATCCCTATAGGAAATAAAAAAACCTTCTCTTAAAAATACCAACTGGTCTCTCATCTGTAAAACTGTGGGATACAACATCAAGTACCTGCATGTCGCCAACATATCCCCTCTGAGTCTCCTCTTCTCCAGGCTGAAGAGACCCAGTTCCCTCAGTCTCGCCTCATACGGCCTCCCCTGCAAACCAGCCACCAACCTTGTGGCCCTACGCTGCACTGACTCCAACCTGGCTATATCCTTCCTGTAATGAGGGGCCCAGAACTGAGCACAATACTCCAGTTGCGGGCGCACCAGAGTCGCATAGAGTGGTAGTAATACCTCTCCTGATCTAGAAGCCACACTTCCGGCTATGCAACCAAGGGTGGCGTTCGCCCTCTTGACCACCGCGTCACAGGGCTGGCTCACGTTCAGCCTGCGGCCGACCAGCCCCCCGAGGCCCCTTTCGCAAGTGCTTCTAGGCGCCTCAGAGTCCCCGGCCTGCCACTTTTTGCCTCTCGACGCAGGGGCAAACGGGGTGCGGCAGCTCTGCTTGCGGACGAGGCGCACGCTCCGGCAGTCCGCCCTCCGAGGCTCGGGCTCCATCCAGCCGCCAGGCGCCAGGCCTGCCCCCAGCGCTCTTCCCGGGTCACCGTCACAGCAAGGGAGCGACCGTCCAGGCCTTGCACCTTGAGACCAAGGACTGCGGACCGAGCACTGCTTCCCCGCTTCCCTCCCAAACCCTTTTCCTTTTGTGCCCTGTCTTTTCAAAGCTAAACCTGAGGGCAGGGGCTGCTTTAATCTTCGCAAGCCATTCTTGGGGCCTTCATGGCTGAAGGGTGGGGAAAGAGCCTGCTAAATAAGAAAGCTAATTGATCCCTCGTGCAAACCACACGGTCGCTGCCAATCAGCCCCTTCCACGGGACACTGGAGTGTGGCTGGGCCAACTTAACATCTTGTCTCTGGATTCTGCAGCGGGCCTTCTTTTTATGAGACATGCAGGCACTCTTGGCTCTTGGACTTGCGTTTCACTTTTTGCACGGAGGGGATTTGCGTTAATTTGCACAAGTGCCCATACGCACTTGCGCAAATCCTCCAGTGCCAGCGAACAGCACAAAATCCAGGTGGGAAGAGATTGCATCCATCACTGGCTGATAGAACGAAAGGTCTGACGGTCTGCAAGCTCGGAAAGGATGGATTCAACCACAGGTGCACGTCGCCACAGTCTGCAAACCTAGAAGAAAAACTATTTTATGCGTGGCAAACCTGTGAACTCCATTTCAGGAGGAAACAGAGAGAAATGCCACTGCTGCCTGGCTCAGAAGCAGCAGGTAGCCACGCCTCAGTGAAGCTGAGCAAGGTGGTGCTAGGTAGGGGGAACACCTGGGGCTCAGGGCCCCAGAGCAGAATTGCACCTGCCTATGTCAATTCCACAGGTGTGTCCAGCAGTCTCCTAAGGATCCCGCTGCCTGTAGAAAGGGAAGAGGGAACCATTTGACTTCAGGCAGAAAGCGGCTGTGGGAGGGGAAACCCCCAAGCAAAGGAAGGAGGAATGCGGTTTGCAGGCACAGCCCTTTCTTTCTTCTTGCTCGCTTCTTTCTTCTCCGAGAGGCACAGGCGTGAGTTGACCTTGGAGCGCTTCCAATAGCACACCTTCTTCTGCAGGCTCTGCTCAGACCGCAGGCACGGTCCTGTGAGAGGCTGGGCATGGGTCCTGCCCCCCCCCCCAGCCCACCAACCACACCTGACCTCTTGCAGGCCTTTGCTCTGC